ACCATGCTGTTGGGAGGCTCTAGCTGCCAGGATTGGAAGGCAGATAAGTCTCTTTACTTCTAAAGTCGCCAGACTATACTTTTGCAATGGTTTATCTCATGACTATGCATGAGAGATTTGTTTTAGCATGTGTACCTTAAAGTCTATAGGCTACTGGGCCTAAAGACTATTGAAAAATGAAGAAAAATTATTTAAAATATGGACTAGGGCTGGGGATGTGGCTCAAGTGGTAGCGCACTCGCCTGGCATGCGCGGGGCGCTGGGTTCAATCCTCAGCACCACATAAAAATAAAATATGTTGTGTCCATCGAAAAAACTAAAAAATAAATATTAAAAAATTCTCTCTCTCTCTCTCTCTTAAAAAAAAGATGGATTAACTATGAAGTCTTTTGTAATTTTATATATTTTTAAGAGTGATTCTTTAAAGTTTATGCTTATTTACTCTTCTGTTGTGCCTGTTATTAAATTGTTTCTAAACTAAAACAAACTGTAAGCAAGAATGATTTATAGCAATGCAGCAGCCAGATAAATTACAACATTATATTTTGTTCAAATGTTCAAATTCCATAATGCCTAGGCAATTTTTTCCAGACTTTTTCTAAAAGTACAGTATCTCAAAAGAAAAGCCATATGCAAGTTATAAAGAATAAATCTATTTCCAGAATGTTAAGCTCTGTTTAACAAGGTTTTATCCACTTAAATTCTGTATACAAAACATGGTTTGTTTTTGAATTATGGTCAAATGTTCAGTCTTATAGTGGGGCAGGGTATTGTTGCTTTTATTTTTATTAATGTATCATCTTTTGCCAATAGGTAACATAATCATACCAATCAAAATAATAACTACATTTTGTAAATTCCCCAACAGGAATTTGGGAAAATTAAAAGATGACTAGGAATGTAGCTCAGTGGTAGAACATATGCATAACATGCTCAAGGCCCTGGGTTCAGTTCACAGCACCAAAAAAAAAGTTATTAATAGGTACACAAAAAATTATTGGAACGGTTAGTGTTATGTCTGGAATAATTTTGTTTTACTCAAAACACCTCCAAAAACATTCAACAGGGGAAATGACGATAAAGAAGAATGTTTAAATAAATATCAGCAAATAAATGTAGAATGAAAAATAGGATTTAAAATTAGCATTTGGCAACTCTCAGTGTTATAATTGATTTAGGGAAGAATCAACAGTGAATATTAACATAATTGTCTGAAAGATTTTGGGAAAATAGTATCCTTGAAGTTGCAAAGAATCACACCACAGATTATTTATTAAATAAATTAGGAGAAATACTTCCATGAAGAGATCTAGTAGTCACCTTCTGAACCAAGTATCCAGTGGGATCACCAATAGTGGGGCAAACTGACCTGTGCCTTCCAATAGGATGCCACAGCACTTATGTGGTTTTTGAAGAAAAAAAAAAAGTTTACCTTGAATCTAATCATAAGTAACAATTGGACACAAATCTAGAGTATGGCACATTCTAACAACTGGCCTGGGCTTTTCAAAAATGTCAATGTCTTAAAAGACAAAATTTAAGAAAAAGAAAAGAAAGAAAGCTAAATAAATAAAGAGACATAACAACCGAATAAAATGTATGAACTATTACTAGGTCCTTGGAAATAAAAGGTGAATATTTACCTTTATTAACTTTAAGTTATTACTATTATTTTTCTTTGGTGTGAGAGTGATATCTATATCTCTATCTCTATATCTATATCATATATATATGTATATATATGTCATACATATATATGTATGTGTATGTATATAATATATACATGTGTGTATACATAACTACATATGTGTATACATATAGGTCACATATATATATATACATATATATACATGTATATATATGATTCTATACAGTTACAAAGAAAAATTCCTAAGAAGATGCATACAGAATAATTAGGGCAAAGCATCGTAATATATGAAACTTATTTTCCAAAGATTTGGAGAATTACAACTTAAATATATAAAAGAAAATAGGTATATATATGTATAAAAATAAAATTATATTCACACACATGAATAAAAATATGTTCATACACAAAGTCATCAACCAAATTATGGCAAAATGTTTATAGTTGGTGAATTTAAGTAAAGTATATATAGATATTTATTGTACCTTTCTTTGAACCTTCCTGTAAATTTGAATATTTTCAAAATAAAGAGTTGAGGGAAGGATATTTTATGTTTATGTTGGTGATATCCTAAACCAGGGTATCATACCTCAGCCACATAGTATATATATATACACGTATACATACCATTTCAACATTTGGTAACTAATTCATTGCTGTGTTGTCTACATTAGCTAAACAATTCCAGATGTAAACTTTGGGGAAAAATGTAACGTTCAAGGATTTTTCTGTTCCCAGATGTCTTGTGTGCATGTATTCCATATTCCCTCCCACTAATCCCAATGACCCCAAACTGAACTACTTCCAAACAACTCACACTTTCCACATGAAGTCTGTTCATGCCATTTCCTCAGCCTGAAAACACTGTTCCCATTATTTTGCTTGCTTGTCAGAATCATAGTCAGTCTTAAGTCAAACTGTCCTTCCTCTTTAAAAGTCTTTTCTAGACCACTACTTTTTCCTTCCAACTGGAAGCAATTGCACCCTGCTGTGTGGTCCCTGTACATCTCTTTAAACATTTATCTATTCTTAGGTTATGGTCACTGTATGTGGAAAGGGAAAGTTCTGTTTATCTCTGTTGCATAAGGTGAAGTCCAGATTTCTTAGAATAATGTACAAGGCTTTTCAACTTGGTGCCTGTGTTCTTTTGAGCCTTTTGTCTTGACGTTCCCCTCAGTAAACCTGATATTAGAGCTATAATATAAGCCATTTTTGCATGTGACTTCTACATCTCTCAGATTCAATTATCTTGATTCCATGGCTTTGAAGGAACAGAGAGCTCCCTAGAATTTCTGGGAATCTCTGGAGCCTTGCATTCTCACACAATCTGCACCGCCTCTGACATCACCAGACCACCACACTAGCCACTTTCCTCTATGGTTCCTTAACTGACTATGAAATTTAGCCTCCTTTTACTCTTTGAGAAAATAAAGCAAAAACCTTCCTGCAAAAGGTCTCAGGTATTGGACTAACTTCTGGAGACCAACGAAGACTTATATTACAATGATGCTTCGATTTCCCTGGAAGTGGGCATCAACCTGCCTTTGCCCACTGAGACCCAGTCACTCCATCTTGCTGGATCATCTTTCCTCCCATTGTCTTCCCATTCTACTCTGTCCATTCCTTCCAGAAGTAAAACCTTGGCACCAGGAATCAAATTAAACAAAGTAAAGCAAAGCAAAACAAGCAGTAATATCAACAAGGCCAACAGTTTCCCCCTAAAAGGAATTCTGTGGCAACTATGTTAAATAAAAAAGGGAAAATATGTTTTAGTGAACAATTATGATTAAACATGGCATTTTGTTTTAATACTTTAATAATTCTGATAAAATTGTAAAGATTTCACAGGATGATAAATGGCATATTTAGCAAGTGCATGTCATTTGCAGCCAATCTTTAAAAATTCTAACTTGTCTACATGAAAGTAAAGTCTAAATGAAAATGTTAAGTATAATTCCATAGGATAAATTTTCCATAGGATAATAAAACACACTTGGCTACTATCAACTATAAGGCAAAGAGACAAACTTTGCATCTCTTACTTGATATTTTCATTTAAACTATTTGTTTTTTTTATTGGGGAAATATCTAAGCTCTTCCAATTCTTCTAACATGAATAAAATATCTTCCACATCTGGAACCCAGACCACATTCAATAGCTCCACAGGGTTTGATCATTCTTTGTTTTGAAACAAGGAGGCAGAAAACATAATATGTTCCTAGCAAAAGAATCCACAGTCACAATAAAATTAAAAGAATGAACAGAGTGATTTTATTTTGGGGTGGTGTACAGAACCATCAAACAAAATTACAAATCACAGTTTAAACAGAGGCTTAAATCTAACACTTTTTCCTTTAGTTTGAACTTTTTTTTCTCCTTTCTTTAAATGAAGAGGCCCAAAGGAGAAAAAAAAATCTAATATTTGCAGACTCCATATTCAATTATGACCCAAATGTTGCATTTAAAAATCAATAAAATGTAAACCAGAAATACAAATAAAAGGACAAATCTATAGCCATTTCTAGCATTTTCTCTGCTAACTGACTCTGGAATCATAGAATGGTGGGGGGAGAGAGAGAGAGAGAGAGAGAGAGAGAGAGAGAGAGAGAGAGAGAGAGAGAGAGACACTGAGGATGTTATTTTATGGAATTATAAAAGTAACAAGATCCTGAAAGCAAAACAGGAAGATGGCATCTATAAGCCACATTTGTCATATCTGAGGGTTGTGCCTATCAGTTTAGGGGGGAAAGTCCTGAGAAAGGACAATACAATCACATATTAAAAATGTAAGAGCTTAAAAGTGCAATCTATTTTGTATTCCATAAAAAGAAACAATGTATTAAAACTGAAAAAGAAGTGGGCTATTAGTGAGAGATTATCTGTCAGTAGGCCTTTATATAAAGATCTATTCCCTTTCTCTTCAAGGGATTAATAATCATAAAATTAGCTAAAGATTTTGAGATTTGTAGGTTTGGAACGAATAAGGACTTACTGACAAACAGATTCATTAGCCACATAAAGTGTCTTCAAGATAAAGTTAGAGTTGTTTATATTGATTCCGATAACATCTGTCTGAAAACAGCAATGTAATAACTTCCTAAGGAGTTTTCTTGCCCGGGAATTCTGCAGCACTTTTTGCAAAATATCAGAGACAAAAATATTAGAGAAACATTATTCAATAATCTTTTTATCCAAATTGAGTTTGTTTTGTCAAATATAGAGAAATATAACAGAAAATAAATTCTTTTTGCTTGCATAATTTAAAAAAAATGCTGTTAATTTGTACAAATAGTTATTAAAAATATACCTTCCATACTAAATTATAATCTAAAATGATCTTTATATTTTCAGGGTTTGATAATGCTTTCCAGACATAAGAAACTTAAGGAACTTTCTTTATCTGAGTGTTATAAAATCACGGATCTTGGAATTCAGGTATGATAATTAAGGTCTTCTGTTAAAGAACTGTGATAGAAAACTAAGAATAAATTGAATAAACTTTGTAGGTCAGAGTAGATAAAAGAAGTGGGCGAGAAATTGAACAACACATATGTGATTATGGTTGAGCCAAGATCAACTCTGGGCTCTTTGTTGGGTCTTCCAGGCCAACATGAGTGAGAGGCTTTGTTTTCTCACTTTTCTCTTTCTTCCTCATGTCAGACTCAGATAAATAGAGACATTTTATTTGGAGAGTGATGGAACTGCTCTGTGTTAAAAAGTCTTCTCATATATAGAGAGGGCTCAATAGAATAAAGATGTTAAGTAATCTAACCATGAACATTGGGCGACTTTGAAAAACCTATACCAGATACTTAACAATTTGAAACTTAAGTTACTCAAAATAGTTGGTAGCATTCTTTATCAGACTGGACAGCATAAGGTAAGTAATTGAGTAGGATAAATGTTTATGTGCTCAAATGATACTTCAATAATTTATGAGAAAGATCAATTTCCTAGACCTGGTCCTGAGAGTTGTACAGGAAGTCATAAAGTAGGCATTGTGAGCAACCACAGTGTCATTTTCAGCACATTCAGAATCTTACTGGGTTGTTAAGATTAAAAAACACCAACACAGTGTGTCATGCATGTGTGGAAAAGGGACGAAACCGATAACCGAGGCATATGGAAATTGTTAAAGACACTGGGAACTCCAAATAAATGAGTCTTGAGAGTTTAAAAGACCTCACCACATAGGAGAACCTGAGGCTAACCACGAACATTGAGGGACTTAGAAAAAAAGGAAAAAAGGGAGGAAGGAACTTTCATCAGAGATAAAGGGATGGATCCCACAAGTAGAGTATTCTGCTTTCTTCTTCTTCTTTTTTTCTTTTAAATGGTGATTCCATTCCTAGTTTTTTTTTTTAAATAATGTTTAGCTGTAGACAGACACAATGCCTTTATTTTATTTGTTTATTTTTATATGGTGTTGAGGATTGAACCCTGTGCCTCACATGTGCCAGGCAACACTCTACCACTGAGCCAGAATCCCAGCCCTATTCCTAGTTTTTTTTATTCGTTTTTTTTTTAGATATACATGACAGCAGAGTGTATTTTGACATATTATACATACATGGAGAATAGCTTATTCTAAACAGGATCCCATTCTTGTGGTTGTACATGCTGTGGAATTATACTGATCATGAATTGGACATAAGTTTCCAATCCTTATATATGTTCTTTCTGGTCCCAGATCAGTCAGTCTACACCTATTCAGGAAATTGCACCCTAGTCAACAACCAGAAAGCAAGACTATGGAGAACTTGTTGTCTTCTTCTCAGCTCCTTTCTTCTTACCTTTTTCTTTTCTTTTCTGTGTATGTATGTGTGTGTGTGTGTGTGATTCTAGAAATTGAACCCAGGGCCTCATACATGCTAGGCAAGCATTCTACCACTCAACTACACCCTAGCTCACTCTCTCGTTTTTAAAGGGCACAAAATATTTGTACATATTTATGAGGGACAGAACAATAGTTCAGTACATATATATAATGTGTCCCCATCCAGCCACCCACCCATCTAGCCACCCACCTTTCCTCTATTTATCCACCTATATATTCATCCATCTATACATCAACCTACCTATTCATTTATCTGCCTGCCTAATTAATCATCATCCATTTATCCATTAATCCATTAGCTCTCCTCCGAATCTATCCATCTACTCACATATCCATTTATTCATTCATCCATCCATGGGCCAGAGGTGATATTAACATCTTACAGTATACAAGAGAACTCCCTATGACAAAGAATGAGTTAACCCTCATGTCAATAATACTGAGGTTGAGAAACCAATTTCTACAACAGAATTCTAAGTTCCTTGAGAGAAAAGATCATTTCTTATTTGAGTTTGTAGTTCCAGTAGTTAATATAGTTGCAGGTATATTACAGGTATTCTATAAATAATGAATGAATAAAATAAAATAGTTAAAAGTTTGAATAAAATTTGACCTTTTAAAAATTTGTATGTATTTACGGCTGGGGATATAGCTCAGTTGGTAGAGGGCTTGCCTTGCATGCACAAGGCCCTGAGTTGGATCCCCAGCACCAAAATAAATAAATAAACAAACAAATAAATAAATAAATTGTATGTATTTAATTTCAGTAATCTAAAAGAGATAATTTTTTAAAGGTGCATGGAATATAGGAACATGGAAATACATAATTACTCAATTATTAGTTACATTAAATCAGCTATTTTGTTCAAGTTCATGAAAAGGAAATTTTGTTTTCACCATCTCTCATTCCTCTTTTTCTCCTCTCTGTTTTTGAAGTGGTGTGTGTGTGTATGTGTGTGTATGTGGTTGTTGTTGTTTTTTAGCCAGTTTTAACTCTTCCAAGGTTCACACTTCTGGACATGCTAAAAGTAATCATTTTCCTCTTTCCCTCCTCTCGCTGAATTTAGTCTCAAAAAGGGAACAGAGAAAGAAAGGGGAGGAGAAAGTGACTTTTGCCAATTTCACAACTTATTATCTGGATTTATAAAGAGAGAGTAAAGGAGCAAAACATACCAATTGAATTAGATGTTTAGGTTATTCATAATTTATCAGAAATTTTCTCTCTCTACTCATAAAAGGTAGGGGAGACTCTCTTTTTAGCATAAGACATTGAAAAACCCATTTTAATGAGAAATGAAAAGATTTTTACCCTAATTAGGTTTTGTAAGAGTTGTAAACATAATAATAAAAAAATTACCTCATTTTGGAGTTTTACTGGAAGCTACAGCTCTTGCAGATTATGTGTCTGGGGCCTCAGATGTATTGACTTTTAGGATCTGGCTTTAATTATTTTCTCCAGCTTCAGTTCTTTTCTGAAAATATTATGTGTTCAATGATTATGTTAAATTAAAATTATTTGGTGCTCTTGAAATGCAACTTTGGAAGAAATGTTTGATATAACTAATCAAGCATTTCTCAAGAAACATTTTTTGAGCATTTTATAATATTAAATAATAGAATGTCAAGTTTGGCAGAGAAATAAGTTTAAATGGAAGTGTTACAAGACAGATAAACTGCAAGTTCTGTATTAGATTACTATGATAGAACCAATGGAATAAATCCAATTATGTACTCTGGTTACTTTTTATATTTCCTTCATCTAGTTCACACTTCTTGTTTCTTTTTTTTAAGAATAAAGTATACTATTAATAACAGTAATGTAATATTCATTCATATGAAGGTATATGTTTTTCTTTATGCAGAGTATCTGTGGGTGAAAATCTTGCAATTAGACAAAACTTTCTGATTATTTCAGTGTTAGTAGGTTGAGGCAGTTAAAAAGGGGAATTAGGAAGCAAAAATCAGGTTTCATGAGATCCACCAAAAACATTAACACATGTATGCTGTGAAAAGTGTGCATAATATTCAAATCCACACTTTCTGTATACTGAATGTATAACAAAGATGTGGGTGAAGTTAAAGCCTGTTGTAGTGAGACTAGAATTGTCTCACAATTTTCTGAGTTTATAATTGCTTTATTTTGGGATTTGGGACAAATGGAAGTGTTCTCTTTTGCAATATAATAAAAGAATGTCATCTTGAAAAAAAAGTGTGCATACATGCATGTTTATATGTAAATGCGTACATAAAATGTGTACCTATTGTTTAGTATGTATAAATTAAATGTACAGGCACTTCATGTTTGATTATATGTGTTTACATGTAAATACATAAGCAAATGTAAAACTATATGTTTAATATGTGTGTGAATTAAGTGTATCTATATATCTTAGTATATATTACATAACATACATATATCAATGTATGTTTTTCGCATCCAAATTGTGTTTAGAAATGCTATAAGATTGTATTCTGTAATATATATAGATGTGTGTATATATACACATATATAAATGTGTGTGTGTATATATATATATATATGTAAATAAATGTATGTGTATAGTGTGTGTGTGTGTGTGTGTGTGTGCGCGCGCGCATGCGTGTGCTTTTAAGGCTAAAACCAGTAAATGGTGGTCAGCACTCAAGGAAAAAATTTAAAAAATAGTTTGTTAATGAATTATCTTTAATTTCAAAAATAATCATCCACTTAAATTACAAGGCTCTATTTTCTATGGGAGTGTGTGGATTGACTTTCTTAAGGCAAAGATAATGATGTAATATAGGGGATTGGTCTCTGCTGACCGAAGTCTTGATTTTTATACTGATTCTGCCTTCCACATGGCCACATGATCTTACGCAATATACTTAGCCTCACAATAGTTCATCACTGTTATAGTGACTACAGTTGTGAAACAGATAGGAGTTAGCATACTAGAGTAGGAGTCGGCTTTTTTGTTAACCTTTCTGTAATGTTTTTCTGTTCAGGACCAGGTAGCTTATATTCTAGACTTTGCAAGCCACATAGTCTCTGTCACAACTGTTCAGCTTTGCTGCTATTGTGTGGGAACAGCCATAGACAATGTGAAAAAAAAATGAGTGTCTGTTTTCCAATAAAACTTTGTTTATGGACACTGGAACTTTATTTATGGACACTGAAATTTAGCTTTATGTAATTTACACATGTTATTAAATATTCTTTTGTTATTTTCCAACCATTTAAAAATATAAAATCCATTCTTGGCATGTAGGCCATACAAAAATAGATGGCAGGCCAGGTTTGCCTCACAAGTTATAATTGCCACTCTCTGGTTTAGAGTCAGACAGGACTTTCCAACTTTGGCTCTGTTGGGCTGTGTGACTTTGGGTAAGTTACTTTCTTTCCCTGGGTCTTAAGATTCCTCATTCATAAAAATGAGTATAATTTTAAAATATTCTTTAGGTTGTATTAAATGATATAAAATAGCTAAGTACTTGGTATGATTCCTGACACAGAGTAAGTGTGATTACTGTTGTTATTGTTCTATATAGTAACCAACATATACTATTAAGTTTTAAAAAAATCGTTAGTATAATAGTTTAATTATTTACACTTGGTAAA